GTTTCAGTGATGCATATGGAACATTTCCACATATACATAGTTGCATATTCACTGATGTTTGTTCTACTCTAAACACTACTATGTTATTCTAGTTTTTGAATAAAATTTGGTCATTTCACTAAATTCACACAAAGTTTTTAAAACTGCTTTTCCTTGCATGTATTGATAGTACATGTAACTCAGTGCCAGCTCATTGGTGACTTGGTGTACATGGTATGAGTAAAAGATAGTGAATATAACTGAGCTAATTATTACTGTACTTTATCCTTTTTATTCATTATTGCAAGACTAAAGTGGGAGTAGACTATGGTATGTGGTGTAATTGAGTTATTATCGTATGAGCAGGTTTCAGTGATGCATGCATGTTAATGGAGTATGAACATTTTATTCCAATTTTTACTAAACTTGGTCATTTCACTCATACAGCTTTGAAAACTGCTTTGTATGTGTGTGTCAGTGTTTGTGTGTCAGTGCATGGTTTATAGCATGCACCTCATAAAATGCACTGAATATATTGAGCTATTTAGCACATTAATATGTACTTTATCTAAATCCAAATATATATTTTAGCTAGTTGATGTCCACTATTGGTATAAGTTTTTTGTGTAGTTGTACTTATCTTAGTCTATCAACGAATGGCATTTGATCATCAAGAGTGTCCATAGATTTCAATATCATTGAGCATTAGGAGGAGGAGAGATCCATTCATTTTGTCTTTAAAAAGACGATTATTTACAAAATACTCTAATCCTGTTACTAGTACCAAGATGACACCAACCAATACACCAGTGAAGAAGAAAGGAAAGAGAGCTCCATTAGTAGCAGGGCCTATTGAAGATGAAGGGCTGGTTGTTGAAAGGGAAGAGAAGAAGATTGAGTTGGTTATAAGAGAGAAATGAAGTATAACTGTAGGTGTGGTACTAACGGACATCTTATTTGTATGAAGAAGAAATGTCCTTGTTTCTATAACGAGTTACCTTGTATTAAGTGCAGGTGTAAAGGATGCTGCAACCCTTTTAATAAATAGACTATAGTAACGTTTTGTCATGTATAACATTAATTATTATTCTTCATTATATGTGAAATTGTGAGTGAATGCCAGCAACAACTGAGCAAAGTAGTCTCGTGCCCCGCCCCTTAAGTACTCCTCTATCTTCTTCTCTTTTTTTCTCAGTTTAAGACTAAGTATAGTTTGATTTATTGCTGATGGATCAACTTATTTGATATATCTACTGCTTGTAATTATTAGCAATGCCCCAATGCAACTGAGAATGGACCGGAAGTTGAAGCTTTGTCCCAACTGAGAATGGACCGGAAGTGGAAGCATAGATATTAGAGTACAGGAAAAATATCTATGGTGGAAGCACGAAGCAGCTGCATTGGAATTTGAAAAATGTAGTTCCGTCACTAATGACGTTTTTAATTATTATTATTAATGATTTCATAGAGATATTTATTAATGATTTCATAGAGATATGGCCGCTATTTCGGCTGTGTTGTTTTACTCTTAAAACAGTCCTGTTCTTCCTGATAAGCAGTACAATAGCTCCTTGAGTCAACTAGTCTTCATAAAGGCCATCATTATCAGAAGATCTCGCTCTATTAGCATTTTAAAAGAAGAATTATCAGTTCGGGCACTCTCGACCACATGTGCTTATGTAAACTATGACATCATGATTGTACGCATCTGGAACAACCTACCAGCCATTAACCTCTCAGCATCTTCACATCAATTAAAGCAACAAATCATCAATCACTTCTGGGATCATTTTTTATTGCATTTTGATTCATATAATTCATGCACATATCATTATTTGTGTCCCTGTAGTTTTTGTTCATGTACTTAAATTTTGTTTCTTTCTCTTTTCTTTTTCTTTTTACTCTACTATAAGGCTGCTTCAGTAGTTGGAGTCAGTCCTTCAACACTTCTATTTTTTCCTGTCCCATTCTTATGTTACTTATCCTTACTTTTTGTTCTGTGTGTTGTAAAGTGATAATAATAATAATAATAATAATAATCATAGAACGTCATTGCGGTTAGCTTTGGTATGCCATTGGGTTTATAGGGAGAACCTGGTTCTCAGAGTTCCCAAGGGTTGAGAGTCCCAATACCTGAGATCTTGAAGCGGCATTGGGCGACTAAGAACCTGTGAAAGTGTCATCCTTATCCCACATTCCTATAAAAAGTTATTCCAGTTTTTCTTGGTCCAAACTCAGTTGGGACATAGTATAGTAGATCTATATATATAATATACTTACCTCTATCACTGTTAATGAACAACTGTTGTAAGATAAAATAAAAATAAAGGTATTAATAATAAAGGTATTAATCCTAAACAATTAGATCTATCTTCCTGAATTGTGCCACAACAGGTTTAGAGGTAGAGGTTATAGAGCAACTAGCCATAGATATACCAGTAGAGAAACTGTGTGTATCAAACTATCAATACACGTAATGGGTTAGTTTCTGGCTTTGAGACTAATAATGGGTGTATTTGAAGATGGGCATATCAATGCAACTAGCACTTCATGAAAATAGCAACCAGAGAACACTGAATATCATTTAACTATCTCAATCACTTTGGGGTATCTCTAGGGATGTCCCGATTATTCCGGAATAATTTTGGGAATAACAGGTAGCACTTCAATTCCAGAATAATGCTGGCCTAATAGGTGGATCACTGAGTAGCCAAACTCTAAGCAAGTGCACCATTTTTTGAAATTTTTAATGCCTATGCTAGTTGGAACTCTATTTTTGAAGAAAGTTCCGGTTCTGAAATTGATATAGAGATTTATATTTTGCAGTATCTGCTCAGTCTGCTGATAGTGATACTTTAAATGGCTTCTTAGACTTACTACTTTTCATTTTCATTGTAGTTAGCTCATGATTACAAAGAATAATGTGGGAATAATAGGTGAGAGTAAAAAGAATAATAGGCAAATTTTTGATAATTTCTGAATAGAATATCTCTCTTTCTACATGCTTTGCACACAAGTAATTGATGCCATCAAATTTAGTCATCATTATACCAGAGTCTTAATCCTTAGCTCAAAGAAAAGGAGAGGTACAAATCTACAAACTACAGACAACTTGCTTTATACAACAGCAGCATATCAGACTTTCAATTCAACTTTCAGCATTACTTGACCACGTGTAGGCACGTGTGCAATACCCACGTGTTATCACGTGTAATGGTAGCTCCACCTATCAGGCGTGGCTTACTATCAAAATGACATTTCAAAAGGACTGGGAAGAAGTCATCCAAAAGTAGTTTTACATTATTCACATTAAATTATGTATATTATATNTGCTAGACCAAATGAAAAATTTTGGATACAAGAGAAAAGAGCTGGTAATTCATTGATAATTATTTTTATTAATTTATTTATAATAATTAATAATAGATGGTCCTACTATATTTGGTAGTTTGTGTAGTCCTCTCTCTGATGTACATGAAACAGCTCCTACTGATGAACAACAGAAATTCATTATTAAGAATTGGAACAAAGTAATAATTAATACTGAATGCTATACTGTGTATCTAGCAATGAATATCATTAATGGGCTGCCATCTTGGGGATACATAGATAAATGCAATATAATTATTTCTTTATTTTCTGTGCAAGCAATTACTAAGACCACATCACAGCACTGATCAGAGTATGATAGAACTATGCATATCTGAGGCATAATTATGATTATAATTATGTTGTAATGTATGTTGTACCTCCAGATGAGGTTATTCAAATAACGTACAGTTTTTGGGATGGTTCAGGTCACCGTAGACATGTACAAGTGAGGGTTTTTAAAAGGGTTTATAGGGAGAGCCTTGCCTGCCGTATTGTAGATGAAAAAAGGAAACATAATTCATGAGTTCTTGCAGAAATGTCTCGAAAACCTTCGGAATTAAAACCTTTTTAATTCAAAGAATTAAGAGGAGCATGTTGTTATGAGCATGTTAAGATGGAGCTGTTGTTTTTTATGATAGAATTATGCATGTCTGAGGGAATCAGAACGTACATTTTAGACAATTCACTTTTGCCCCATTCAGCTCTGTACTTCCACTCCACAACATGACAGTTCATGAGTCACCATGTTGTGGGAAAGATCCATACCTTATTCTTAATTTTTGTCTCTCTCTCTCTCTCCCTCTCTCTCCTTTCTCTCTCTCTCCCTCTCCTCCAGTATTCATTATTAGTTCAGTGTTTAGTTACTGATACAGTAACACAATTCATTGCACCAAACAAGACAATAAAACTAACAGAATACAACAAACCAGTTAGTGCAATACTTAATATTATATTATTATTATTATTATTATTATTATTATTATTATTAGTTATTAAGTATGGACGTGTCCCCCAGTGGTGAATTAGGCGTATGTTCATCAGTGAATGGAGAAATATGGATATGGGAAACAGACACTGGGACTAACAGAGTAACTGATACTATTTATAGTAATAGATGATGTCATCGTTACTATTTTTAGCGTGTACTGGAAGGTCACGTGGGTGATGTTGATAGCTGTAGGTTCTTTCCATCAGGTCTAGTGGTACTGAGTGGTGCTAGTGATTACAGGGTTAAAATATGGTCCATTAAGGATGGGTCTTGTGCTAGGACACTCACTGGACACACTAGGGGTATAGTATATTATTAGTATATTATTAGTATATTATCGGTATATTATTAGTATATTATTGGTATATTATTAGTATAATTATTGGTATAATTGTAATGTTGTCGTAATTATACTGATGCTATTGTTATTGT